TGATGAAGGTTGTAGGGGTAGAATTGATGAATTTCAGGAAGTTGGGAGGCTAGGAATGTGTTCTGGAGATTGAGTCTCTGCTTGGGTAGGTAATGCACTAGTAGGCACTGAGGAGTGGGTAGAAATTTTAGTGTTTGGAGTCGTGGCCAAAGGAGAGCCTGGGGTCAGGGAGTCGGTGGGGCTATTTAATGAAGGGGCAAGCCTCGTGGCCCCTAATAGGGGTATTACATCTTCATTACTGGACATGGAAAGCTTTGATTATGTAAAGGGAAATAAACAGTCCACCCCCCAGTGCCCTGTACGGGGGTAAGGGCTAGACAACTAAATCGGGAGTACCGTGCCCGTGGTTCCCGCAGGCCGTTCAGGACTGGCACAAGGTCAGCCTTTCATACTTTCAGAACGGCTCTTACACCTTAGGAAGTAGATAGTTGAAGGGACTGGAGAAGGGAAACAAAAAGCTGGAGGGGGATAAGACCATGCAAAATTAGTTGAGTCGAGGGCTGAGGCCCATGACAGGGGAGATCCCTGCATTGGGTCTCATCTCCGCCTCCTAAGCCTCCCCACCACAACAACGGGCAAGGGATTGGGGGGACACTAATGTAGTAACATCTCTATATTTAAAAATGGTGGTCGTTGATTTTTTTTCTTTTTCCACGGAATGCATTAAATTGGCCTAGTTTGTTTATAGCTACTTAGGTCTGATCACGTAGTATGAACATGTGTTGATACTTCTGCGACGTTTCTTCTCTGACGTTGAGGTGGCAAACCAGAAGTGGCCATGTCTCCCATACATTGGACTTATTTGCATAAAAAATAAATATTCACCTAACCATCTCCTTCCTTCTGTGAGGGCCACTGTAACTGTAGATACTCTTGACGTCTGATGCATGATGGTCGCAGGCGTGTGATCAGTTTCAAAGAATTCGGCACTCGAAATCCTGTAATTCAATCTTCAGAAGTAACTACGACAGGTTGCAGCAAAGGCCTCTCTCTACCTTCGGTCTTGCGTAACCTTCAGCATTAGTATCCAGTAATTAAATCAGTTCCGAAAAACAGCTGTATTCCTGTTCCTCAGCTTGCTCAACGTGTCACTTTGTAGCAGTGTTCCAACAGCAAGTCGTATTTGGCCGAGAACATCTGTTGCATAATATTAACAGTGGCTGGATACAATAAAAAGCCTTGTGTGTGCTTCAT